GTTTCTTCCCACGCTATTGTTGTTGTTGTATCTGTCGCCGTTATTGCTGTTGTTGTTGATGCGGCCATGTCGTTCTTCTTCTTGTTCATTTTGTTGTTGTCACTAATATCATTGATGTTAACCCGATTGATTCCCTTGTCAATGTCTTCACTGCCCACTCCTTTTCCCCCATCGGTTGTGATGGAGTTTTCAGCCGTTAGCGTTGTTGTCGTTGTTGTCGGTGTCACTGTTGCTGTTGTTATTGTTATCATCGTTGTCGATGTTGTCATCTTCGCCTCCGTCAAGGTTGTCATCTTCGCCACTCCCAACTCCAGCACTTCCATTAGTACTGCCTCTGTCGTTTGTGACGGTATTTCTGCCGTGATTCTTGTTAATCCTTGCGCTGTTGCTGCACTTGTTGGCGGTATCGGCGATGATGTCGCAGTAGTCCCCTTCACCAAAGTACAGCGTGTTGTATTGGCCCCTTCAGTTATCCCTGGTTGATCAGCTGAAACAACCGTACCACCTACCCGCCCAGCAGGAGAATGAACAAGAGGTAGCCCCCCATCCACCCCTATGTCGTCCTCCTCCAACCACTCCTCCATTCGCCAGTGCAGGTCACGCCCCTCCCGAAATAAAGCCTGACAGACGAGCATCTTTGCGTCCAGTCGTCTCCAATCAAGATATGCTTCAAACCGAGGATCCGGCCCCTCCTCCAGTTCCCACAGAATTTCTAACATATCTTGACCTCGGGCTTCCAACCACTCGTCCAGTTTCATCTCCCCCACATCAACCTTCGACCCCTTCTGCATCTGGCCCACTAACACCCCCACCACTGCCTGCAACTGCTGACATCCCCTCTCCATAGTAATCAACCAGTCATCGGCCCCTTGTTGTAGTTCCATAGTAGTCTCCATAGCTCCCCTGAGAACCGCGCCGCTTTTTCAGCAAAAAAACAATCATCCACTCGCCGGCGCTTCCCCTGCCCACATGTCGCGGCGCCTCCACAGCACCAATCACTGAGTGCCACGTGGCTATTGACCAGCCTCGCCACCCTGCGAGGCACGCGCGCAGGCCCAGCAACCCCAGAGTAATCACCCGGGCGCTAGTCGTGCCGGGACAGTCGAGCTTTGTCGGTCGGCCGACAACGGGGCGCTAGCACTAGCGCAGCGCGGTTCCTCCAGTTACAATGGATTCTCTCGCCGCTCTCACCATTTTCTTCCCTCTCTTGTGCCAACGTTCGCACGTGAAGCGCCACGACTGCAAATGTTTTCACTGTCTCCCTTTCGCAGCGCCGCACACCCTGCTCTGCCGGAAAGAGGTGGGATTATCCCCGAAAAAGCCCGAAAGGACTTGGTGGATGTCGTGTCGGATCAGACTCTTATTGAGGATCGGCATGCTGACAATTTTTTCCCCCTGATGACCAATTGTGGCCACGGCGGTTTTTTGTTTTCTGGAGCGGTACTGCTATCGGACTCTCTCATTGTCCCATTTATATTTGTGTTTCCCCTTGAGAACCCCCCACTCCCTCCATCTGAGCACTTGAGCTTAAAGCACCAGTACATGGGCACCTCGACCATGGGCCTGACATCTCAAATTCTGGAGGCGCGAAACGAAAACGCCGATCCAATTTATCAACGGTGGGCCCAGCGTTTGACGTTTCGGCCTCGTTTTCTTGTGGCAACAAGTTTCAGACTGCAAGGCTGGGGCCGTGGTACTAGTGGTTTTAAAGCACCAGTGCATGGGCACCTGGGCCGCGGGCCTGACATCTCGAATTCTGGAGGTGCGAAACCAAAACGCGACCGCCAATCCAATTTATCAACGGCAGGCCCATCGTTTCACGTTTTGGCCCCGTTTTCTTGTGGCAACAAGTTCCTGACTGCAAGGCTGGGCCCTTGTGCCTTTTTCTTTTTTCTTTTTTACCCTCAAAGTTCCAATCCGCTGGTGGGGACCACAACCAAGCATCCCCCATCCTTTTCTTTTTCTTCCCCCACCCCACATCCGGCGTCCCTAAAATTCAACATCGCCAGGGCAGAGAATCATAGCTCACTGGCAATGAGAAACCCCGACCGCAAAACTCAGACTACCAGGGGGCTCACCCCACCCCAAAATGTAGCGACCCTCCCCCCCCCCCCCCCTCCTCCCCAATAGCATCCACATCATCATCGCCTATCACGCAATCCCAATGGGTGTGGAGGATAAACCCTCCCAACATCCTACCAACCACATCATGGACTATCACCTATAAACCAACCAACGCTTTCTGTTTTTCTTTTATTTTCTTTTTTCGCCGAGCATCGAAGGGAGGGCAAGTTCACTCACTGCCTTTTTTTTTTTTCAACTTCAGTAGGGTCACACACTTATAAAGTGGGGGGAGTGCTGCTACCATACTGGTGGGAGTCCTGCTGCAGTTAGGGTCAAGGAAAGTGGGGGGCAGTGAGGAATGCAGTAAATCCCCTCCTCAGGACGGCAATCAATGCTGATTCCAATAGGCAGAGAATGTAGTACAAACTCCAGATGTGTACGTCCTGGATGTCTGAGAACAGTAACTAATGCCGTATGTTTTTTTGGGACGCTGGAGCGGCTGGACCCGATTCTCTCTCTCTCTCTCTCTCTCTCTCTCTCTCTCTCTCTCTCTCTCTATATATATATATATATATATATATATATATATATATATATATAT